GCGGTGAGGGGAGGCAGCAGCAGGGCGGCCGCCCAACGGTGCTTTACTCGGCGAGGCTTTACCTGCCCCTGCCACCTCCTCGGCGAGGCCTTTACCTGCCCGTGCCACCTCCTCGGCGAGGCCTTTACCTGCCCCTGCCACGCACTGCTCGGGTGCTGTGATCACACACTCGTAACTACCAGTGTTTTGACCCCTGACTTTGGACTGAACATCTGAGAAAACTTTTGCTCTACCAAGCGTGGACAGTAGGCAAGTCCTTTGATAGCAGTCAGTAACTAAAAACACGCTTCATAAAAGCAGCTTAAAAAAAGTAGAGAAGGCTGATAAAAACATTTTGTTGTTGTTTTTCATGTAACAAAAGCTAGTTTCATCTATCACTGTAACAAAAGCTAGTGCACATGATTTGAAATAGGCCCCCTTATTCTCTTGCAGATTCTGGCTAAGCTGGTTACACTTCTGCTTGCACCTACTATGTCCCCAAAAAGCACAAAATTTACAAAAAGAAGCTGCTGGTGTTATGCATAAACTCATCATTTCCTGTTGTCACAGGCTTACTTTCATATACTGCATTCATTTAACTACTGACTAATGTAACGGTACTTAAGACTGAAGTATAGCCAGTAAAACTTTCATGCTGGCTTCCTTCTAATCCAAAGTGGTATTCATCTTTCCTGAAGGAAATGTTTAAAGGAGTGACAATAGTGTCAGGACTTTGATAGTCTGCTGCTCACTATGATTCAAACAACTTTTATTCCTGTTTCTGTACAGCTGATCCCAATTTCTACAGCAAAAACTTGCTCTATTTGGGAAAGACGTACCTGAAGTTGAACAACAAAAAGATGGCTCTCCTGTGGCTAAGCAAAGCCAAGGAATATCCTGCACATACAGAGGAGGACAAACAGGTAGGAAGTTTAAAAGTGTGACGGTGCAGTTATGTTTTAGAGTCAACGTGTGTGATGTTATGGCAGTGAAATATGTAAAATTACTGCAGAGTAAGTGATAATTTAGCAGCTATTCCAGGATTACATCCAGACACAAACTGTGTTGTGTCAGCTGAACATAAGGGTTGGAAGCTTTCTATTAATAAAGGATTGCTATTATTCTTTCTGCAGGTGTATGTGTTGTGGTTTTTAATGATAATTATTATTATTACCTTAACTATGTTCAAGTTAGGGCAGATAACCTATGGCTATACTAGGCAGAGAAAAAGTGAATCTGTGCTTAAGCTAAAAAGGTAAATGCTCTATTTTAAAAGACTTAAATAAAAACTCTCCAGTGGAATCACAAGAAAGGATGGATGAATGACAACCTGCTAGATCCCTAAAATCTAGCCTTCCATTTCCTTCTAGGCAGCTAGGGCGAGATCCAGCCTCCCTGCATTGCGACAAAGGGAGGGAACGTTCCCCTCGGAGCAGCTCTGTTGCCAGCTGCCACGCGAGACCCTGGCTTTCCTTTGCCACTTGCTCAGAAGCCTCCTGGTTTGGGCAGCCCTGGCTGCTCTTGATTCACTCACCATAAAGCTGCAGTGTGAGATCAGGGTTTAACTGTTACAGCAAATATCCAAGTTAGCTGTGACATTACGAGTGACCTAATTGTAGGAAACACTTCATCTGGAGAGTTTTTTTTTTTTTTTAATCAGAAAAAGAAATTCAAGTTTTTCCCACTTTGCAGATTCTCTTGTAAGATTCAAACTGATTGAAGTCTCTCCCACAGAGAGCAAGATCCTTCAGTAACCTCTTTCAGTAGGAGTATGAGTAAGGGTTCCTTTCATCCAGTGTTGGGGAAGATGTGCAGGAATTCAGTAGCTTAAAGTAGGGGCTTGAGGTAGGTAAGAGATTAGTCAGTTCTTTCAGCAGTTCTGAGTGGATGTGATGACTTGTTCCTCTCATGCATCCAACAGTCTTTCTTCCACGAGGAAGAAAGCACAAAGCCACAAATGGTCTTTGTGCAACAGTTAAGCCCTTAAAGCCCTCAGCTGCCGCAGCGGTTGGACTGCTGGTACAAACTTGTTTTTTTCTAGAATGTTGTATAGCTGCGGCGAGGAGTGGTCATCTCTCCATTCTCTGGGTAACACCACGAAATTGATGGGTGTCAAAAAGATGGGAATGAGACTTCATAGTCTAGTACTACAGATTGCTCCCTCTGCCTTTGGTCTTTAGGCTGATACTCAGAATTTTTCTCCTTTTCCTGTAATAGTTGGCTTACATTGTCTGAACTGCTTTGTTAGGACTTTTTAATTTTAATATTGATGTTATCTGGCATACCCATTTTATTTTATTTCTTTTACACAGAAGCCTTAGGTAAAGGAGTCTCTCACTTCACACTGCTGCATTAGCTTCTCTTTAGTTCTGAAAACCCAAGGCTGACCAGTTAGGGCCAGAGAGGGTAACTCACTACTGTTTGAACCAGGAGTCCGTTAGTAACTTTATCTAAGTTGAAAACAAAACGAATTGCTGCACTTTAGGCACTAGCTTAAAACATTTTATTGTCACTCATAGTCAAGTAGAACATTTATGCTTAAATTATAGAATGGGAACAACTATGGAAAGAAAGCTGTCTGATTGTAGGAGGGCAGTAGTTTATGGACTGCTGTGAAACAGTCTGGTCCTTGCAGGATAAGGTCTGCTGGCAGAGCCTTTGTGGACATGGCATCGTTTCCTTATTACTGTATTCTTTTCTTTTTAGGTACAGAAAGAAGCTCTGGAACTGCTTAATTCTATATAACAAGAAACAAGACACTGGGAACTCAGTACCTCCAGTGTGACCAGCATAGGAAAACAAAAAGCAACCAAACCAATCTGCTACTTATGCTCTGCTGACTCCATTTATTAAAGACAGAGCCTGAACTTGCTCTCTCTCTTAATTGTTTTATTACATGATCATATCTGTTGACATACATGGGAATAAAGGAATTCATCAATGAGTAGCTGGGGAGAGACTGAGAGATTGAGTTGAATTTCTACATTGTTCAGCTGTAAAATGTTAGCTGTAAGGAATAATAAGAAACAGGAATATTAAAGAAAAGAGGTATAGGGCCATTACCTAGCCATTAAGGTGTAACTAAATTTCTATAGCACTTCTCTTTCCTGGGTGATTCAGCCACCTTTGATAGTACTGTAATGTCCATTAATAGTTTTAGATTGTGCGGCATTAATCAGAAGTCTGTAAAACACCAGCAACCTTAATTCCTGTACAGTGGCCCACAAGAAGGGCTAAGAGCAAAAATAAGCACAACACACAAAAGGTGAAGCAGGAACCCCTTGCACATCCCTGCAAGGGGCAGCATTTTGTGATGTTTGCTCATGTTTTGCATTTTGACAAGATGTGAATTCTGAGAGTTTAGTGGCCAAACCAGGTCTGCTGGAAATACACCCTTCTGCCTCTAGACTATTATCACCCCGGGAATACTATTTGGAATACATTAGAAAGGCAGGGCTACAATACTGAAGCCATTCAGGCGTTTACTTGTAAAGATAAAGTCAGGTTTTTTCCTAATATTTTAGCACTAATTTACACACACACACACACACAAAATTAACCTAGGTTAGGTTAATTTCCACACTGAAAATTTGCATCATGAAAAAAAAAATTAGTCTTAACCATGCATGGTATTAGCAGTAGCAACTCCAACGATCTAGAACTATGAATTCCTAGTTCTCCTTTCAGTGCGACCCAAGTCATGATCTACAGAAGGGGCAATGGATGCCGGTGTAGGGAAGACCAACCAGCCATGTCACACGGCCATGCTCATTCTAAGTCAACAATAAAAATTCACAGCTGACAGGCAGAGATCAGCTTTAATTCTTACCTCAAATCATGGAGCTAGATAAAAGCTGTTTTTCTCCACTACAATGTAGTAAATTCCTTAATCTTGACACAGGACAACATGATGAGGTTTAGCACTCTGAAGCTAAGGGGTGGATGAGTCACAGTGCATCAGAGCTGTTGGTACCAATTCTTCAAACTCTCCCATCAATCAATCAGAAGTGATTTGGTGATTGGCAGATGTTTTCCGGGAGGCTGGTTGCAGCAAAGCCTTCTGCAGCTCTCTTGCCCTGAAGAGGAGCATCTGCACAAGGAGGAAAGCTATCCAGGGACCAGGTAAAGATCCTTGGGACCTCTGAAAAGAGCAGCTCTGAACCTGCTTGCAGGAGCAGACTGAATTAAGCAACTTGAGCGTAGCACCCTCAAGTAATATCTTCACTGCTTCCCTTACCTGATCTGAGCCTTTACTGCCTTCCTCTCTTCAGACCTCTCTTCCTCCCTCCTCCCAAGTACAGCTGCACTTTGGTAAGTACGGATGGGAACAGAAAAAAGAGTTTCAATGCATTACTGCTAAAATTTCTGGTTCCGGAATATCCAGCTTAACCACATGGGCACACACAGAGCACTATATACATTTTCCTTTTTTACTTAAGAGCCAAACTCCTTTAGTCAGTCATTTAAAGTTAATTCATAGATTACAACTGCACTTATGAGACACCTAAAAATCACCAAAGCAAACCAAGTACATTTTGCCATGTGCTGTCTTTTTTTTTTTTCTCTCCTTTTATTTTGTTCACTTAACTCACAGATTCACAGGATTCAGCAGTTGGTAGTGGGTCACCAAGTCATTCGTTAGTGCAAATTCATAGAGTTCAACTATATGACATTTAGCCCTCTTGATCATTTTTCAGGTAAACCACACAAGCTTCTGCTGCTCAGCACTGGAGTTTTTGGTTTGTTTTAAAGCTTCCTCCGTTGTAACTGGCAAACATCATAATTTAGGTGGATTTATGCTTGAAATTAATTTAGAGGTGTATGCATGAAAAGGGTTTTACAGACTATATGTGGTACAGTATGAGAAACCTTCACACAGTGGAAGTTTCTGAAACTCTTCGGGGAAATTCATGTCATATAGAGCAGTCTGTTGGGCCAGTTTCACTGCTGCTGCTGTCAAAGCTATTTACAAGTTATCAATCAGCTCCACAGTACACTTGCATTCAGAATGCAAAGCCTCAATATGTAATCCAACATGTAGAAAAATAAAATTTTGGCAGAATTCAGGTGCTGTTTGGAAAGATACAAGAACAGATATACCAGTATTTTTTCTGCAGTTACACTTTTAACAGTGCAATATGATATGTTACAGAAGTGTTTTTAATCATTCTAAGATCATGTTCATGTGTGTACAAAATTTCTGTAAAAGTTAAATGTAATGAACTTACAGTTAATATTTAAAGCATAATATAAATGGTAATTTTACTCTATAATAGGAAGCACGGTTTGCTAAAAGTAGCATCGAATATAATTCACAAGTAAGGTTTTGTGATTTTGTTACACGTCTTTGCAGTTCAGCAAATGCCCTCAATACCAATAAGACAAATTTTAAGATTATTTTGTATTACTGTGCACTTAGGACAAACTTGGCCTACATAAAAGAATGACAGGTTTTAGACATACTTAATTCATGTACATCTGAGTTTCTACAAGAACTTAAGAGGATGGCTTAATGACTTTAATACTTAATAAAACATTTTTAACTGTGCAAAGCTTATGTAACTTTCATTTGGGTTTACTAGATCCCATCATTGAAACTGAACATGAACACAGAAAGCAGCAAAGTTCACATTATCTTTTGTATACTCTTATATCTCAATTTACATTGATATTCTCTATGCAGTTGGAAAAAGGACACCACATTGGAAAAAGGGAAAAAAAAAACCTACAAGACACCAGACCAAAGAACGAATGTATAATATCTTCTCTTTTATTATTATTTTTTTCTTTAAAGATTACCTAACATCCTCGTGGCAATAACCCAAGGTAATATGTAAACAAATTTCAATGCTGCTCAAATGAATTAAAATATTCTGTTCAGCTCCTACAATAAGTCAGAACAGTGGCACCAATTTCTTTCAACATGAAATCACATTCATCTTATTATACATGACTCTTGTGCAAGTCATAAAGGCTTTATTCATGACCTTGGCTACATCACTATAGTAGAGGGAGGGATATATCAGCTATTTATGTGTTTCAAAATAGTTAAACTGACAGAACAACATATTCCGTCATCTCAAATACCAGCAGCATCTTTCTACATATTTAGGATACGTGTGGCCTAAGCCTTTAACTCCTTTTAGAACAGCCATGCAATAAAACAAACTTGGAAATGTTGAGAGAGAACACAGAGCAGTTTTAAACATTTCTTCTGAATAATAAAGCCAAGATAAAGCAAATCCAGGCCCTTTTAAATGGCTGCAATGTTTCATACACTTCAAGCTCTATAAAACTAGAGCCCATTAGTATATATATTTATATTTTTAATATATATCTTAAATAAGTCTTTTGTCTGCTTTCAAAATTTATGAGGGGGGTTCTGGTCATTTGGAAGGGCAATAAATAAAAGTAGAAAAGGCTGAACTGTTTTGCATATCTTTGTGGAAGAACGGAGAACAATTATACTTTTAGAGTTCCAGAAAGATCACTGTACAGAACAAACAGCTTATATACAATTAAGTGTGCATTTTAGTTGGCTGGGCCTTCTAGTTTGCAAGATCTCCTTTTGAACCAGAAGCCACTTCTACTCTTGACCAAATCCCTCTGTTTCTTCAATGGCAAAGAGCAGCTTCTCTTTTAGTTGTTCATAGCTCTTATATGGTGGCAAATCCAAACGATTAAAACTGAGTAAAACAACAAACAAACAAACAAACAAACAGAGAAACAAAACACATTTGGTAAGTTTATCTATCCCTGTGGAACATCACAAAACTTTTAAGATAGGAGTTAAAATGTTCTGATCTAACAATTACAAGCTAGAAAGTGGCATCAGTGGGCTCTCACTGCTTTGTCATTTCTATGAACACTTAAAAAGCACATTTTAAGGAAATACTTTAAGGAAAAAAAAGGCCACTGTCACATTATATAAAAAACATAACTTTTGAGGACTAAAGAAAACCCAAGATTCAGAGATATACCACATTCAGAGAAAAAAAATGTTCACCATGAAATTAATGTAATCCTAAAACCCCTAAACTCAGGCACACGAAAAAGCCCAAGTCCTATATTTACCTCTTACGAGCTCTTCTTCCTGTGACTTTGCCCTAACAGACTCCTGATATGATTCTGTCTCACTCTTCCCTCATCCCCAAGGCCATCCTAGACAAAGATGATGTTTAACCGCTCTGCTCCTCGCTCAGGAAAACGGCACCCGTTGGGGAAAAGGGGGAAGGCGAGGACGCCCAAAGCCAAGGGACTGTCACGGGTGCTGCTGGCGCAAGGGCATCCCTGGCTGCGGCACTAGCCCAGAGCGCAAACGCCAGGCTGAGAATCCGCAGCCTGGAGGGAAAAGGGAGCAAGGGCCAAAACGAACCTGATCCGAACATTTGCTGGGATTTCTTCAGCACCGATTTCTCTCATGACTATATGGTTACGTTTCATAATATTACCATATAATACGTATATGTAATAACTGTATATAAACTTGACAACAACATGACTTCTGCTCAATTATTTGATACGCTTTAAATTAAAGAATTAGGGAAGTATCTCTCAGTTCCATGCAAGAAGGATAATATTTTGATGTGTCTGATACTGACATTAAACAATGCAATAGCAAAACATAAGAATGTAAGAAAACATAAAAACATAAGAATAAGGTAGTCAGCAGGCTTTCAATACTGTCATCTCAGAGCAGTTAAAGAAACCAAAGATGGAGATCAGAGATTCAAATCAGATTTCATTTTAGATTTTAGAACAAGTGCAAAATCAGAAAAGAAAACCACTAACGTATATAAAAACAACTCACCAAGTGTGACTTCTTGGTAACCAGGTTTCCTTACCAACTTTTTCAATGCAAAATTTCTGAGGACCATTGCTTCCTAGAAGAAAAATTAGGAAATAAAGTGCTATTTGTTCTTGTTAAGTAGTATACAGCAGACAGAACTCATTATGTGCTACTCAACATTACATAAAAGTGAACATGCTGTTTGTAGTTAGCAAAAGGGCTCATTTCTATTTATGTCATGGGCCTTCTCCCGACATAAAAGACCTGAATCCAAGCTGAGGGCACGACACATCTGCAGCACGGTTCATTTGGAAACGGATCAGTTCCAGCACAGGCATCCTACAGCCTTCACTTACCCATAAGCTCAGCAAATCCTCCCAGTGGTAATCGGCAAGTGCCAGTAACAAACTGCAGAAGTCGCATGCGAACTTCATTGTCCGTCTCCTTTACAAACTAGACACGGAAATTCAAATGGGGAAAAAAAAAAAACAACAAAAAAAGTCATTCTCCAATCTGGTAAAACGCAAGGCAACAAGGAGATCCATTTTCAGATTATGTATTATCAACTGTGACAAAAGGAAGACTGGCAACAGCTCAGTAATTAACAAGAACCTTTAAGCTCATCTATTTTATTCCACGCTAAAATGTAAAGCATGGCTCTGAATTAGCACTGCCCTTTGGGCTGAACTCTGTGGCTGCCTGCCCTGCTCACAGTCGCTGGGTATTTCAAGGCCCAAGTGCTCTCTGCAGCTGACAGTCTCAGTGGGAGAAACCACTGCCCACAGCAAGTGTTAGCATTTGGTAAGGAAATTTACTGGAGAAAGGGGAGGAAAAAGAGGAAAGCCTGACAACATCTTAGTAAGAAAAAGCAGTGTCAATATTGTTAGTTTGAAGCAGAAAAAAATCTGAATAATAAAAAAAAATAATCTTTGCTTTATAATTGTTGAAACCACATTCAAGTTGCATGAAGTTCTGGTTAACATATTAACATATTTTTGGTAATGAGCTGCTTATTTTTTTCTCGCTGCTAGATCAGATAATTACATCTCACAGTATTCTGAAAATGCAATAATTTAAAAAGTAGTAGATTGGCACCACTTCTTTTTTGTCCTAACAATTTTGTTCAAAGCATTTCTAAAATCATTATTTTTTTTAATCACAACACAGGAAATGTCTAGCCGTGACACCTTCTCTTTAGAGAACTTCAGAGCAACTGGGAACTTGCATAGATTTTTTCTGTTTTTCTGAAAATATTTCTTAGATTAAGGTATCAGTAATAATCAATCCTAGAGTGCCAGTTTATATTACAATAACCATAAATAATACATGGCATTTTATATGCACACATGCCCTTAAAAGGGCATTTGGAAGGCCGATTGCTGTTAACAATAGTAATAGTTGTAATGAAGTATCTTGAGTAAGAAGGACAAGACCGAGAAAAAATACCCATGACCCAGCAAGCCAATAACAATGCAGGTATCTCCTGGCCATTTGCCACCCTGCAGTGCTGTCTAACAACAAGCAACCCAATCTTCCTTTCCTTTCTGAAAAGGGAAAAAAAAGGAAGCAGCAAAGGCCTTCGTTCAAACGGCTTCACTTCAGGTGCATTATTTGTGTTAGAAAACAAAAACAAAGCAAGCCCAGCTGGAAATTTTTTGAATACAGGAGGAAGTTTTTCTCCCGGAGGGTAGCAGAGCTCAGCCCACCTGCCAGAACCAGACGATCTGCTTGCTGTTGCGGGTGTAGTGCCGGTACACGGTGTTGCGCTGCCAGTCGGCCAGGTCCACCTCCTGCATCCCGCACAGCATCACCTGCGGGCACAGGGATTGCTCGACTGCATCCACATCCGTGCACATGTTAATGGGGTTACATCTGCCTTTGTGACTGTCTCATATGAAACAAGAGAGGTTCTTATCCGAATGAACAACTGGTGAACTTTTTTTTGTTTTATTCCACAATTAGAATTTTCTTCATCTTCTTTAGAAAGTCTCATTTAATTTGCGGAGGACAAGAACTGTTCATGTTTTTAAGTGATATGAAGGCACCACACACTGGAAGTTTCAGGCTTCTTCCAACTACTATTTCACTACTATTTCACTATTTCACATAAAAGATATTAATTTCTTTGCTACTATCACTGCTTATGGTAAAAGGTAGTGAAAGTGCAAGTGCAAAGTAACCAAGGCAGCAAAAGCTGCAGGTGGTAAAAGCAAAGCCTCCAGAGAACCCAGCACTACGTAAGTTGTATCAAAGTGCTTTCTCTGGCAAAGCTCCTGTTTAATTTAATAAGCTTTCAGGACACTATTCATTTTACACAAAAAATCTTGATAAGTCTTACAGAAATAAGCACTTTTGTCCCAAACCATAACCCAACAACATACAGCACAGGGCAGACTGACGGCTAAGCATGGTACAACCAACTTTTTCCAAAGGCTCTTAAGTTAACATTTTGAGGACCTGCAAAATCCATACAACTTTCTCCCCTCAAATTTAATAACCATAAGTACCTATAGGGATACATCCTATAGCAGGTATATGAAACCAAGCAATTATTATACACCAGAGTCCCTTTTTCCTGATTCTGTTAAAGGTAATTGCACATATCAACTGGAGCAGAAAGTTTTAGAAAACTAACTAATTTATCTGTGATCTCACGTTCTGATCCTTTAATGGGATGTGTGACAAAGTGCATTCCACAACTGGGATTGCATCTAAAATTCACAACTCTTGGACATCACAAAGCACAGACTCAATGTAGGTATCAGTTTTCGATCATAATTTATTCCCATCTCTCCTGTCAAGATTCCCTGTTCCAGATGAGATCAAACGTAGCAGGCGAGAGATTCAAGCTGACCTATCCATTTAATCATTCCACATACACCATTCTTCCCTAAAGGCAAAAACGTTGAACAAAAGAACGTTACCTCCAACTCCTTCTCATCAAAATAGTGTAGCCATTGTAGAGGAACAACTTCATTAAAACCATCAAGAAAAGCTTTGGTTTGTTCTCTAACTCCCCGAGAAAATCGCCACTCTGCCATTAACCTGGGAAGGGCAAAAAACAACAAAGGACATAAGTGTAAATTAAATATTACTTTGCAGTCAACATAAAAAAAATCAAACATGTATCACTGCGTGTCTGTTCAATTAAGATAACATTTCCTCCAATTTTACTTTCTTCTATCACTATGACGCTATAGAGTCTAACGAATTTAGCATACTGATATACTATCACAACTCTCCCAATCCAAACCAAAAGTAATAGTGCTTGTTCACCTTGAACTTTTGTTAATATTGACTTCCAGAAGTATGTATTTTTATTACTAACCTTTCAATTGCCAGAATTCAGCAGTCTTTTAATAAAAAGGCTGCTGCTTGGGCATTGTTATTTTGTTATGGCAAAATTTATTCTGGCTTAAAACGTGCATAAACTTACTGTCTTAGGTGGAAGAAAAGTTCCCACTGATTTTAACATTTTTCTTTTCTTGAGCCAAAATGTGAAGGCAGAAAATAATAAAAATACTGTTGACTTTAATATCTGTAACTATGTTTGCCCAATATGTCTACAAATATGCTACAATAAGACTATCTACAACTTCAACAAAGAGTAGTCATTTTCTATTTGAACATCTGATTTATGCTAAGATTTAGAGAAAGGGAGATGTAAGGGTGTTTTAAGATCCAACTCAAAAAGTTAAATCATTTCTGAACATAAAAAAATGAAGACAAAGATAAATATGTATAGTAGAAACATTTCAGTGAGAAGCTAAATATTGTTGAAGTGGGAATTTTATATGCAGTACAGGGAGAGGCATTATAATATAAAAAGTATCTATGCACATGTGCTTTTGAGACTGTGCTGAATATGTGCGTCAGAACTTTAAGTTCAGAAAAGGAAAGGCAATAGTAAAGATTAGGAGAGAAGGTAGCAAGAGCAGATAACAGAATAAGGAGAAAAACTAGCTCACTTCACACCACGTTATCCATCATTCCTTAAAATTTGGTTTCAGCTTCTAGAGCTTCTTCACAACACAACCTATGGAAGAGTTGTGAAATCCTCTTCTCAAATGCATGTCTTCTACCAACTGAGCTTGTTACTCTAAAAATTGGTTTGTTCATTTTCAATTTCACTTGTTTTCTCTCACTGTGTATGTAATAACACAGGCTACCACCCCTTTTTGTGTATTAATATTTTTTTTTGTTAACACCTATCATGGGTTAAGACACCACTCCAAAAGTTATTATCATGAAGTGTGTATACATATTCAGACACACACATACAAGGCCAAAAAGTACAGACATCTCCACCTTCCTACCCAATATATTCTTCTTTGTTCTCCTCGGTTACCAGGATATTTGAACCTCCTGATTTCAGCTCATGTGAGGTTACTTTTCCTAAGAGCTCCATATCCACACAGAAATACATTTCCAAGTTACACTCCTCAATGTTGTTATCCCTGAAGGATAAAAGAAAAAGAAAATTAACACTATTCTAAGCAAGCAGACAAGTCAAAAGTCTATAAAACATCAGCAAAACAAGTCTACAAACCTTATCCAAATTAGAGAGTTGTAAAATTCAGTATCAATGGATTCTAAGTCCTTAATAGTAAGTTTCTTGCTCAGCATTCGTTTGTAGAAAGGCAGGGAAAAACCAGTGTCAATAAATTTTCCATGAAACAACGCCTGTTAAACAAAAGCAAGCTGATTATATTGAATTGCCAAAATTATTGAATTATTTCAAGACTTTAATTTTTCTCCTTTTCTTTCTCCTTTAAAATAACAAAAAGGCACCAAGTAGCAATAGTGGCTTTGTATTTAAAAAGAATGAAATATAACATTAAATGGGAAGAAAGAAAACACAGTTAATTAACAAAATTAAGCTAAGAATATGCATCAATACAAACCGGAAATTCTTAGGATAAAAAAAAAAAAATCAAAAAAGAATACCATCTCTGAAAAGATGAAATTTCATCTTGGTTATATGGTTCGGTCTATATACCTAGGTGAACATATTTGATCTCATCTGGATAGGACACGGTTGTATGCAGTATAAAATCCTAACCATTTTGTAAAATGTAGTATAAAATCCTAACCATTTTGTAAAATCATCCTTCAGACAATGCTACAGCAGCTTGCAAAAAAAAACCAACCACCAAAAACTACAGTTAAAAACACAAGCACAGGTTGCTGTTGAAAGAGCCGGGGGGATCATTTTCTTATAGGTGAATTGTAACAGAATTCTCCCTTCCATTCCAAGGGGAAACTGAAAATACAAACGTTGGTCACCCTCCTCTTACCCATACAGAACACATACAGGATGCACTGCACTGTATATACACACACACAACATTAACCTCTATAATGTTGCCTCTGAGCTTCTGAAACTTAAGAGACCTAGTTATTACCATCAAAACCTTAATCCTCCTCATCCTGATCCGTTATACCTCATTTACTAAAATACATCTTTAAAAAACTCATCCTGGGCATAGGCCATGAAGCACTTTTACTGCTTCTCTCTCTCTCCTCACAGCTGAACTTCTACAGCAGAGGAGTCTAACAGGCCATTTCCTCCAGAAAAAGGCAACGCTCCATCCTTCCCCCCATCTTCCAGTCTCTGCTTCAGATCCTCTTCTCTAGCTTGCATTTTCTTCTGCTTCGGAGAGCTAAAAAAGGTTCCCCAAAAGGCCTTTTCTAAGTTAGCCTAGACATCTCATGGGAGAGAGTGCAGTATCCAACTAAACCACTTTCTGCTGTTTTTGAAAAAAACTGTTAAATTGTGTCATTTAATTCTCATGGTTTTCTTATAGCAAAACATTAAAATTGCAAGAACCAACAGTTCTTTTATCACAAAGTAACATATTTAATCTCTATATTCAGCCCAGCCTCAATCACTACAGGGTATTCCAAAAAGTACAGAAAACCTATACTGCAGGCAGTATTATCCATTACAGTCCACGAAATAACATACCCAGACTTTGCAACTGACCACATTAGACACCATTACACTGGTACGCTCAGAAAGTTCAAAATTAAAATACAAAACACTCCAGGAAGAGTGTCTCTCAACCTTAATTAACGTTTTAATGTCTTAAAAGATTTGAATTTGTTCTTCCCTCTAATCTATACTTTGTATGAGGTAGTTTTCCTAAATTTAATGGAAAATTTTACTTCGGTTATGGATTTATGTTACTCCAGGAACAAAACCCATGACTAAAACAAACAGAATTTATCTCTAGCACATAATTTGCTCCACCACGGCCGGCTGTTACCGGGCACAGCAACTTAATGAGGGCTCTAAAAGGGAAGGGAAAAACAGCTGCCTACTGAAAGCGTTAACCCAGGGACATCAGCTTTTCATGGCAGCACAGAAATAGCGGCCTTGGCCGTAAAACCCTTAAATAAGAGATGTGACCACCAAAAGCAAACGATTTATGCCTCATCAGCTGCTATAAGAACAGATTTCCTCCAAATCCAAAAATCACCTTTTTCTAAATTTGATTTTTTTTCCCATGCTTAAAATACGCTTTGTTTTTGTTTATCCCACCTAATTTCATATCCAAAATCTTAATGTCAGAAGGAGGGGACAGAATCTTCGACCTGCAAACACACTTATCTGCTGTGTTTGTTTTCACTGCCAACCAAGTTACCAGATGTCCCTGGAGGCCACCTGTAGATATCAGGATACTGATGGGCAAAGACAATTTTATCAACAGATGTAAGAAAAAGAAATTAAGTGGAACCTGACAGCAGAAAATCAGGAAGCTTTCAGCTCCCTGCCAACCTCTGCTCTTCCCAGTATATGACCTTTGCATGGGCATAGTTATGGCTTACTGTATTCTGCAAAATGTTTCTGACACATTTTTTCTAGTAGAGTAATACACACACACATAGCCTAGTACTTTCCTCAAAAGCTTCCTCCAAAGCCTCCTAAATTAATCACGTTTTCCAGATAATCAGTATTCAGACACTCAATCAGGCATGGAAGAAAACCACAGTCTGCATGAAGCACACATATCTAATTGATAACAATATAATGTTACATTAAATTTCATATTAGATTTCATCATCATTTCAGTAAGCTTCAGCAAGCAAGAGACTTGATTATCAGGAGATGTTTTAGGTTCACAGCCTTGCATACCGTAATCTTCCATTTATTAGGAAATTAAGAATCTTTAAAAATTATAGAAGCAAATACTACTCAAGAATAAGTTTAAATATAAAACAAACAATAAAACCTTTAGAAATCTAACGTACCATGGCAATAAAGCGCCCAATGAAACAGAAATATGAAAGATGATCAGGATTGATTGTTGATGCTGGATTTATCTGCAGGCAATAGTTGCTCTTGCCAGCATATTCAAATAGGCAGTACATAGGGTTCAGTACTTCATGGGAAAGCAAGAAAAACCATTCTCTAAGGAAAAACAAACACGTATACACATAAAAACATCAAATACAGATGTTTATCACCATTCCCCTTACGTAACTAGAAAAATGATCTAAACTTAGAAACTTAGAAAAAATTATAAACTTAAATTTAGAAAGATAACATAGATGGTATTATATGATATTCACAGAATAATATATGGAATTATATTTTATTTAAATATTAAAAATTATTAAAAATCTATTATTAAAATATTAATGTTACAAATTAATGACTTGCAGAGTCCAGGACTAGTTGGTAAGCCTGTCGCCTTTAGCATGTCCCTCAACACAGGCTTTTGCCACAGAAGCCCCTGCCAGACTGTTTCTCTAAGCACAATGGGTCAAACCGGACAGAGCACCCAGTTTAGCCTGCTGAAACATAGGAGGACAAATCAGGTGCACCAGCTTCTTCATTTGTATCAATGCACTGAATCACGCCAGCAGGTCAGTACGTAAACATTTACTCAGTGCCATTTAGATGTTCCCAGCTAAAGTTACAATGAGATCCTTGCTGCTTCACAACTTCCCTTTCAAAGCCTTAGCTGAGACTTATTCTTAAGGCTATGAAATTCTAACACATACATGTTTATGCTATTTATTATTCTGCTGAATTCTGTGACTAACACTGTTCAGTTAAATTCTTTTAGTGTCATTTCTTTGGAATAGTTGGTTTCTCTGAAGAAGTTTCCTTGAACTCTCCTGGTTCCCATCTAATGCACAGTATAAACATGATAGGGACACTTATCAACAAAAACCCATGCATTTCTCCATTTATATTTTAACCAAACTTCTTTACAACATTTTAAGTTACAGCAACGACAAAACACCTTCACATTAAAGAACTAGAAAGAAATATTCTATCACTGATAACTACCTCCAACTCCT